TTCAGAATCTTCATGAGAAAAGCAAAAATATTCAAAGTTCAATTAAGCATAATCTTCCTCACAATAACAGTTTTACCTTATATGGTTCCACCCAGATAAGGACTCACAAAATCAACACATGAGAATAAAACTAGGACAAAGAGAGGTGTGTGATATAGAACCAGGACTCTGCCTGTGCATTTTTAACATCGCTTATTGTTTCTGGTGAAAAAAAAAAGGCAACACTTCTGGGTTTATTTTTTCTTTCCTATCCCAATGAACCTCTCCAGGTTATTTTTTGGGCTTTCCCAGTTACTTTTTTTGTACTTGGCCAGTTGCTCATGCAGACGAGCATTTTCACATTTTCAGAAGACAGTGCAGCTCGTTTCTTCTGAACAACATGCCCAGAAAGTGAGAAAAACCTTTCACATGGTATGGATGTGGCAGGTGTTGCCAAGTACTTATGTGCAAGGGATACCATCACACTGTGTGCACCTTCATGTCTGGACCACCATTTCTGGGGACAGTTCTCTGAATCAATAGTAGGTTCTGCCTTGAATCGATCCAAAGATCTCTCAATACAGTCCTCTTCTTCATCAGATGAAGAATACTGGGAAAGCATGAGGACTGTTTTTTTCTTGGGGGGGGGGGGGGGGGCTCCGATGTTGCTGAATCTTCAGGCTGTGCTGGTGCCTGCCTCTCCCTTAGCAAAGCAGTGATTAGTCGCCACAATTCAACCCTGTCAGGTTTGCTAAGACACTTGAGACCCTTAAACCTAGGATCGAGTGAAGTTGCAACCTTGAGACATGTGATGTTAGCTTTATCCTTGCGCTTCTCTACTCGCAGGAGGTGGCACAATGCTGGCAACACCACAGAGCAGGAAACAAGCTTCTCTCCTCCCTGAAGATCAGTGATGCATCTTCAGTAAAACAGAATAACATTTCAGTCAGAAACAGAGAAACCAATCACCTAGACTAAATTACTTCTACCCCCTCCCTCCACACACACACACACACACACACACACACACGCGCACACGCACACACACACACACACACACACACACACACACACACACACACACACACACACACACACACACACACACACACACACACACACACACACACACACACACACACACACTTTATTAACAAAAGACTGATAGATACAGGAGTTTCATACCTGCAATGCTCCAGCACTGTTTCCAACTTTTTCAGTTTTTCCAACTCAGCTGATGTTGGCATTGTGATGGTGGTTGCTTGTTGGGCCAGTGCAGCTCTCAGTGGTTCCTGATTTCTCAGAACACGCTTGATCATCTCTACAGTACTATTCCAGCTTGTTGACACATCCTGGGTGAGCGACTCTTTCTTGATGGAGTGTGTGATTTGTTGTTGTTCAAGTTCCACTGCATTTGCTGGGCTGTGCTTGAAATGACCAACAACTTTTCTGCATTTAGTCAATGCACTGTCAGATGGACTGTTCTGTAGAGAAACTGCAATAGCTCGATGCCGGCTGTGTGCAATGCAAGGCATATACTCAAATGGTAGTTGCCTCGCCGCAGCAATCATGTTGCGTGCACTATCTGTGGTCAGTGTGCTGACTTTAAGTTCAATGTTCCACTGCCTGGCTACTTGCATAAAATGTTCAGCGCATGTGTCGGCAAAATGTCTGTCCTCTGTTTTCATAACAGTCAAAGCATGTGACCGAAGTTCCCAGTTTGATGTAAAATAATGTGCTGTTACCCCGAGATAGCTGTGATTACTCCGAGACGTCCAGCAGTCCCCTGTTAGGGCAACTGTTTTTGTCCGACTCAATGTCTCCTCCACCTTTGCTTTTTCATCTTGATACAGTTTTTGTATATTGGTTACCGTGGTGGCTCTCGAAGGTAATTCATATGTGCTGTCGCTTGATGCAATGCGAATTACGTCACGTAGTCCTTCATCCTCCACAATGTGAATCTGTCTGCAGGCTGCAGGCTACCCATTTAGCAATGGCTGTTGAAAGCTTACATGATGTCGAATTGTCTAGGCGTCGCTGCCGAAAACTTTCCAGCATGGTTTGCTTTTGGCGAGGAGGAGGAGAGCTCTCTGCATCAGCTGTATGCTTCGCCAGCAGGTGGTATTTGAGACCTGAAGTACTACGATGATAGCTCAGTTCACATCGACAGTAAACACAGATGACTTTTGTCTTATCAGTTGTACCATCTGGTAGAGTTTTAAATGTAAACTTTCCATTCAAAAGACCATTTTTGCTTTCCATGCTCTACCTAGCATCCGCGACTGAGCATTAACATTCTTGTTTATGTAGGCTATAGAACGCCAGGAGGGCAAAAGGAAAGTACGGAAGCCTGCGCGTTAATCACACATTAATTAAATTAACGTTGTTAAAAGGAGCTTTGCATTAATGCATTAAAAACATATTTATTTTGACAGCCCTAAAAAAATAATGCCTGCTGGTGGTAGTCGAAGGGACCGGTGGCGCCTGTGCTCGGCAGCCTTGCCTCTGTCAGTGCGCCCCAGAGCAGCTGTGGCTACATCGTAGCTCATCATCATCATCATGCATTAAAAACACATTTATTTTGACAGCCCTAATATATATATATATATATATATATATATATATATATATATATATATGTATATATATATATATATATTAGAAAAAACCCAGCATGAGAATAATAATCGTAAAACTATGTTTTAGCTCTGCTGACCAAACATAGGTGCATTGCTTCCAGCTGTAATCACAGACGTAGGGCCACAGGCTTAAGGTGTCATACATATTTTCCACCTCTAGATGATGCCCTTTGATAAAAATTGGATTTCTGCTTTAACTTATGCTTGTAGAGCCAACCTATATATGGTAATATAAAGTCTGGCCACGAGCCATTCGCGGGGCGAATCCACGGTTGTGTTTCAAACTGCCTCTGCATACATCTGGACAGCGCTAGGACCAATCGGAGCAATAAACTATGTGACATTTCCATCACTACAGAAATCTGTCATCAAGACAGTTTGCCATAGATTGTCAAAGAAGAAACAAATCCTTTACTGAAATAAATGAGGTTAGTGGATCCCAAAGCCATTAGAAACGAGTGCCATCTTTGTAGGGAGCCGTTGGTCTGAACGTACCAACCATTAGAACCGGATGTTTGGAAGCTAACTTTAAGGGTTGCTGTTAAAAGGACCAACAAATTATAATGTTTGCAAAATCTCCTAACAAGTTCTGGAAACGTACTCATCTAATCAATCGAGTAACTTAAAGTTGTTTTAACCAATCAATAGGCAGCTACTTCAGATTGCACAGATCTGAAGAAGACAGCTCATCCTGCAGAAGCGGAAGAGGAAGAATTTCCCTAACAAGTCTAATCATTCCAAATAAAACAATGAACTGTAAACAGTAATTAATAAATAATAGAAAAAATAAATGAGTTTTTTTGCACCTTTAATAGTTTTTATTTTAATTGTAGAACTGCAGAATCAATGCAGGACTTATTTGATCCGTTTTATGAAAGTGCTTTTTTAAACCTTATACCTGTGATAAATGACCCGCACTTGTATAGCGCCTCTCAGAGTATGGACTCCAAAGCGCTTTACACTACAGTGTATCATCCATCCATTCACACACACACACACATTCACACACTGATGATGATGAGCTACGATGTAGCCACAGCTGCTCTGGGGCGCACTGACAGAGGCGAGGCTGCCGAGCACAGGCGCCACCGGTCACGTCGACTACCACCAGCAGACATTAGTGACATTGTTGTAGGATACTTCTAGCTGTTTTAGCTGTACTTTCTAATGGTAATAAATATTGATTAGCCACAAATGATCTCAGACATAACCAACTCCAGTAACAGCAGGAAGGACTGTTTATGTTTATGGGGGGTGCACACATCGATGCACTCACATGATGCCTTCTGTTTCCTCGTCTGGAGGAAGTTAACCACAAACACAAACATGTGAATGACTGCTGCTGTGAAAACGTTAACATGCTGGAGAGGAATGAATGCTGCAGGTTGGGGTTTTCAAAAATCTGCCTTTTGTTCATGTTGCTTCAGTTAAATAATGAAAAATATCGGCAGGAAATGCAGGAAACAACCAGACAAAAACTACAAAATCTGTTTTACTGAGTGTATGAAGTGAAGCTGAGGATGCAGCAGCAGCTGATGGACACAGAGAAGGATGAGATGGACACGTGCAGACTATTAAACATTTCTGTGTCCTTGCCTGACTCCTTTGTTTCCTCGTGTTAAGTGGAAATGTACAGCATTGTTTTTTTGTCATCTGTCTCATTTTTTACTCCGCCCTCTCTCTGAACCAATCAGAAAGGGTTGAAGGAGGAAGTAGACCAGAGCTGGACTTCCTGTTTTATGTCTCTGAAAAAAGCAGTACATCAGATGATGCAGCCTCCGATTAAAATGTAATCTGGAGTTTGGAATTGGACAGTGGCATTAACTGATGTATAGAAGGAGAAAAACGTTGCGATTCAGATATTAGCAGATCACACTTATTATATTCTGATTCATCTTTTTGTCTCAGCTCATTTCCCAACAGAAACGTCCAATAAAAGCTAAATAAATACAGATTCATGGACTCTGATAACTAAAAGCAGCAACTAAAGCAGATCAGGATCATTTCTGGGTAATAGGTATATAGTAGTGTGTGTGTGTGTGTGTGTGTGTGTGTGTGTGTGTGTGTGTGTGTGTGTGTGTGTGTGTGTGTGTGTGTGTGTGTGTGTGTGTGTGTGTGTGTGTGTGTGTGTGCGTGTGTGTGTGTGTGCATGCGTGCGTTCAAACCTCACCGGTGTAAACTAAAACTGCCAAGGTAAACAAGCAGTGAGATTCGGATTCCCAGAAGTGTTTCTCACACATCCATGTTTCAGGTTCTGGTGTGACCTCAAATCTGCTCACTCAGTTTCTTGTTTCTGCCCCTTTGGAGTATTAGTAATGGAGTATTAGGAGGGGTATTTTGTTACAGTTGCAGATGAACGTTTTACATCTCTCGTCTCCTCAGAATGGCTCAGAAAGAGAAACTTCAGTGCCTGAAGGACTTCCATAAGGACACTTTGAAGCCGTCTCCTGGAAAGAGCCCCGGCACTCGTCCTGAAGACGAGGCGGAGGGCAAACACCCGCAGAGGGAGAAGTGGGCCAGCAAGCTGGACTTTGTTCTGTCCGTGGCTGGCGGATTCGTGGGTTTAGGGAACGTTTGGCGTTTCCCGTACCTCTGCTATAAGAATGGTGGAGGTAAGACTTGGCGTTGCAAATAATTCCCATGAAACTTCAAGCATTTTTGGATAAATAACTTTGTTCTGCTTTGTATTTTTCACCAGTTTTTCTTTGATCTTCCCTTTTTTAGGTGCATTTCTCATCCCCTATTTCATCTTCCTGTTTGGCGGAGGTTTGCCTGTCTTCTTCCTAGAAGTTGCTCTTGGTCAGTTCACCTCTGAGGGTGGCATCACCTGTTGGGGGAAGCTCTGCCCCATCTTTACTGGTATGAAGAAGAAGAAGAAAATATATTTTCTATTGCACCTCAAGATAAAAATCACGAGGTGCTTCACAAAAACAAAAAATGTAAAAATATAAAAATAATTTAGAAAATGATTAAAAATATATTTAAAATGAGCAAAAAATGGACAATTGTGATTAAAAATTTTAAAGAACGAGAGAGAGAGAATAGGAAAGAGGGAAATCAGTGGATTCTGAGGAAGGTGGAATAGGTGGGGAGAGCAGAACAAGGAGAGGGTGATGAAGAAGATCATACAAAATCCAGCTTGAACAAATGAGTCTTCAGCTGCTTTTTAAAGGAGTCCACTGAGTCCTCTGATCTCAGGCTCAGGAGGAGAGAGTTCCAGAGTCTGGGGACCACAGCAGCAAATGATCTGTCACCTTTGGTCTTTAGCCTGGTGCTGCACAACCAGTAGGCTTTGATCATTGGACCTCAGGGACCTGCTGGGGGTGTAGGGACTAAGAAGATCACCAATGTAAGATGGTGCTTGTCCATGTAAGGCCCTATAGACCAGAACCAGGATCTTGAAATGAACACTGAAGTTGACTGGCAGCCAGCGAAGCTGGAGGAGAAGCGGGGTGATGTGGGTGTGTTTGGAGGACTTGGTCAGAAGCTGAGCACAGGCATTGTGAACCACCTGTAGACGGTTCAGGGAGGTTCTGCTCAGACACGTGAAAAGAGAGTTACAGTAGTCTAAGCGTGAGGAGATGAAGGTGTGGATAACAATCTCAAGTTCAGAGCAGGACAGGATGGGACTCAGCTTAGCAATGTTCCTGAGATGGAAGAAGGAAGAGCAAACAAGAGAACTGACATGAGAATCCAGGGTGAGAGCTGGGTCAAAGGTCACACCAAGATCCCTGACAGGGTTTGGTGTGAGAAGCAAGCTGACCAAGAGAGTCTCTGACTCTGGGAACCAGCTTGTCTGGGGCACAGATGAGGATCTCAGTCTTATCTTCATTCAGCTGAAGAAAGCTCCCAGCCATCCAGGTTTTGATAGAGTCTAAGCAGGTGTGTAACAGCTGCAGCTTAGACATCTCATTGGGCTTAAAGGAGATGTACAGTTGGATGTCATCTGCACAAAGATGGTAGGAGATTCCTTTGAAGGAGCTCAGGATGTGTTAAAGAGGGAGCAGATGGAGGAGAAAGAGCAGAGGCTCCAGCACAGAACCTTGTGGGACATCATGGGTAAGAGAGGTGGTGGAGGACCTAAACTTGGAGACGGCCACAGAAAAGGAGCGCTCAAAAAGATAAGAGGAGAACCACTCCAGAGCAGATCCTGATAGGCCTACCCAGTCTCTCACTCTCTCCAGTAGCAGGTGATGGTCAACAGTGTCAAAGGCTGCAGTCAGGTCCAGCAGGACCAGAACAGAACAGTCCCCTGCATCACAGTGAGTCAGAAGGTCATTAGAGACCCTAAGAAGAGCGGTTTCAGTAGAATGAGCTCTACGAAAACCTGACTGGCAGCTATCATAAATGTTATGTTCATCAAGAGCAGCTGTGAGTTGTTTAGCCACAACCTTTTCCAAGATCTTAGAGATGAACAGAAGTTTAGAGATGGGTCTGAAGCTGCTATGGAGAGAGGGGTCGAGACTCAGTTTTTTAAGAAGCGGGTGGATTACAGCGTTCTTAAAGTAAGCAGGGACCTGACCAGAAACCAGAGAAGCATTAATTATAGAGAGCACGCTGGGACCGATGGACTGAAAAGCAAAGATGAGGGCAAGATGTCGAGGGGGCATGCAGAGGTCTTCATAGAGTTAACTAGTTTGGTTAACTTGGGCAAAGAAACAGGAGCAAAGATATCTAGGATGACAGATTGGGTTGGAGCCGGGAGAGGCAGCGATAAGGCTGAAGGAGAGATGCTAGATCTGACCTTATTGTCTTAGTCCACAAAGTTTCACAATCTGCAACAGAGTGGATGGAGGCTGTAGGAGAGGCAGGAGAGACAATACTGCTGATGGTGTTAAACAGCACCTTGGGGTTCCCTTTGCTCTGGGACATCAGGTTGGAAAAATAGGAAACCCTAGCGTCTCTGACTGCAGAGTTAAAGGATGTCAGAAGGTCCTTTAGGTGCAGCAGATGGACGTGGAGACGGGTTTTATTCCACAAGCGCTCAATTTTTCTGCATTGGTGCATGCAACTCGCCACCAGTCTCTCTGAGCCTTTGTGGGTGCTGGCTGGGACCAGGGGTCACCAACTGCTCTGATTACTAATTCATTGTGATTCCTACTTAGAACATCCACTTTTATTTTACACTTTAGTTTTTCCAGCATTGCTGCAGGTCAGTGAGACGCTGATGGTTAGATAGAAAATGTTGGTTAATTAGCTTTGCAGGTGGTCAAAAACTGAGCTGAAAGTCAACTTTCATTTACAGATGATCAGAAAAGTGTTGTGATCAAATGTTGTAAACCTGTAGTATGAGGAACGCCCAGCTCTTCAAGACCTTTATTTGGGCCTGATTGGTGAAATTCCACCTTTATATGTGTTTGATTATATTTATAACTTAGAGCTGCACTGAGGCTCAAAGTTATGTTTAAGTTAGAGGTCAGACATTTGACTTGGTGAAAGCTGATTCCCAGACTCTCTATTGGGAATTTGGAATCAGAATTCCATAGGAGTTTGTGATGATTCACTGACCTTCATCAGGAAGGGGATAATGTGTGGAGAGTCTAAGGAATGTCTTTCTATCACCATTAAATCTAAATGGAATTTGGTGAAAAAAATGTGTTATTTGTCCCGTGGATTTCCTGTTTTGTTGGATTATGCGCCACACAAAGCTCCGCCCACCGCCTCTCCCTTGGACTGTTGCTCTTCTGCCCAGAAGCAGCCTCCTCCTCAGCCTTTTCTTTCTTATCAAGGTTTTTGGATTTTTCCACTCCTCTGTTGGTTTTCACAGAGGAATGGCTGAGTCACTCCAGACTCTCCTCCAATCAGAGAGCAGAGATTTTACCCAGCTGTCGTTACCAGGCAACAGGCAGGCCTGCACGGGTACACCAACACACCGAGGTCTTGTTTTAGCTCCAACCTGCTCCGGCTTTCACCTGGTCTCCTGTGAAAAGCTTCGTTTTAAGAACTTCTGAGACGTCTCCTGATTGGTCCTTCGTTCTCAGAGGAAGTCATCGTTTATTCTTTAGTCATCTGCTCATCCTTTTAATGGTCTCTGTTTCTCATCACTTTCTTTTTTCACCAGTTCCTCTCACCTCCCCCTCTCCTCCTGTCAACAACCAGCTGAAGAGGTTAATGTATTCATGTTTTTACAGCCTCCTCATCTTCAGTCATCGCACATAACTCTTGTCTCTGCTTCTTCTGAGTCTGCATCATCAGTCTGCTTTTTATCCTCTTTCTGTGCCCTCTCCAGCATTGTAACATATTCTTCTGATTCCTCAAACACACTGGTGCTTGCACACATGCACACCCAAAAGATTGGGCATCAGAGTGTCCTGAATTGCACATCGCTATGGCAACAGCACAGCAACATGGAGAGACGCCACAAGAGAGAGAGCTCAGAAGAAAAGAAGCAGAGTGGAGAGATCCGAGGAGCCGACAGATGGATTGATAACAAGAAAAATGAGAAACAAAAGATAAAGCTTGATGAAAGAGGGAATAAAGAAAATATATCAAGGGAAGGAAAACAATCAGGGAACAGAGAGAAAACAGGGATGGTAGGAAAAATTAAAAGTTAAAGCTGATGAATTCATTACAGTCTAATAAACCTGATGTAATCCAAAAGGGTTCAGATGAAGGCAACTGGACATCTTTGGCTTCTTGAAGACAATTCGCTTCTCATCCGAAGAACTTTGTCAGTTTTGACTGGAATGGGAGAGTCAGGTTTATAAGCTGTAGCCGTGTGATGAGAAGTGAAACATCTTCAAGAAACCAAAGATGTCCAGTTGTCTTCATCTGAACCCTTCTGGATTACCATGGCCTGGATGACTGAGAACCTTCAGCTGCATAAACCTGATGTAAGACACGAGGTAGAAACCGGGTTGGGACCCACGTTTCCTCTTGTTCTGATGGTGTAAAATGGTGTCATGAAGTGTGAATAAAAACCACCGCACTAATTCAGGACGTGTTGATGGAACTGAGAGGATGACATGGAGTCTGATTCATCCCTGAGGGAGAACATGGGTTAGAGGTGACTGCAGCTCAACTACAGGTTAAGAAGACCTGCAGAAAGAAGCTTCTGCTTTCAGCTCCGGATTTAACCAAAATGTTCGGGACTGAACCAGCATGCATTCATCACAACTGAACGGTGGAGCTGCAGCTTCGTTCACTGGTGGATATTTATCACTAAATCCAACCGAAAGCAACAGACAACTGTAGAGTCAAAATTAAACTAGAAAATCAAGTTAAACACAGGTCCGTATTTAATCAAATCAGTCAATTCAATCAACTAATAAACAAGAATGTTATTTTTAGCCAGAGTTTTAGCAAACAGTAGATTGCATCAGATCTTTCTGTGACTCAGACCGCCACCCTGGGCCTCCTTTGGGCAGCAAGTGACTTCAGAGACTTAACCCCCCCCCCATGACAGGAAGAGACCTCCAGCTGAGCCAGACTGAGGGAGGGCGGCTATCGGCACCAAATGTTTGGGGATAAAAATGGAAAGGAAAGGAACAACATCAAACAAGAAAACACCAGGATGCAGAGTGTTTCAGATACACACACAACTATCAAAATGGGTTGTGTTTAACTCTTTCTAGACTGTTTTTGCAAACCATCATCAAACCACATCTGGTCCAGATGAAGCATCCTCAGATGAGAAGCAAAACATCTTCAAGAAACCAAAGAAGTTCAGTTGCCTTCACTTTTATTCATTTAGATTAGAATGTTGTTTTGTAATAATATCAGCCAATAAACAGTTCTGCAGTGTCATTACTATTATTTTATATTTTCCTAAGATTCCTTAATAACTACAACTGAGTGAGGTCAGGCAAGGTCACGAGACAAAAGCTCTAGAAATGACATCATGGAGGAGGACAAATCTGTTTGTTTGATCAGCAGCGTACTGTGTGATCCAAGCAGGTGTGTGTATATGTGTGTGCGTGTGTGTGCGTACTTGTCTTTATATGTTTAACTGGACAAATTATACCTTTAACATGTAACGTGTGGACATTTCCACAAACGTTTTGCTGGTCCACACATTGCTAAGCAGGTTTGGTGTGAATTAACTTTTAATTTAGGTCAGTTTATGTTAGAGTATGGGTGGGTTAGGCAAAGTAGATTCACTAAAATGAAAGGAAGTAAATGAGTCCACACAAGCATTTGAATATGTGTGTCTGTGTGTGTTTAGAAATGTAAATCTATGCCAGCTGCTAATTACCAAGTGGTTAGAAGAACATGACAAGGTGCTGAAGACTTCAGTTCATATACATGCTGAAGACACACAGATGGTGAACAAGGCTGGGGATGTTTCTCTGTAATTCATGCAGACATCTCTCATCTCTCTCTCTCTCTCTCTCTCTCTCTCTCTCTCTCTCTCTCTCTCTCTCTCTCTCTCTCTCTCTCTCTCTCTCACTCTCTCACTCTCTCACTCTCTCACACACACACACACACACACACAGATGGCCAGTGACGCTGAAAGACATTAATTTGGATGAGTGGTCCCTGTCGAGTGTGCTGTAATATCCTTATGAGGACCGGTGGTAACTGCAGTCATCACATGACCTCTAACCCAAATCCTAATCCAGCCTGATCCAAGTCCCAGTTGGTGCACCTACTCTAATTTTGGGAGGTGATTTTATTAAAATGACTGAATGGAAAACAGCACAGGCAACCTTGATCTTGTGTTTACCCCTAGCTTGGTGTCGAGGTCTGTAATGACGCAGCGACACTCGTCTGATGACTTCATGCCACCGAAGGTTAACAAAACTCAAACCACACCGGGGTCTTTGAGACCATAGACTGTACATACTTGAGACGTATAAAGTATATTCTGGTCTGATATTTGTGTAGAAAAACATCAGATATGATGAAGTTTTTATTATGCAAGTAAAATGGTTTATAGACTGATGAGTTTCGTAGAAACAGTAAACAACAAAATTATAGAAAAAAATGGAACAAAGCAACCCTGACAAATGGTGAATGTTATTTCAAATCAGTTATATGGGCCTCTTTGAAACTGTTGATGCAATAGCTTTTGTTGTTAAGCGCTAGAGCCCATCCTCAGCCTTTGCCATTAGAATCATGATATTTTTGTTTGGACAAAAATGTTTATATTTGACACTTCTGTCCACTTACCCCCTCCTTTGTGGGATCCCTCACAGTTCAGTGTTTGAACCCTCACTATTCACACACTAAATGATGCTTTTGTGGTCCGTTGAGCCGTTGTAACTTTTATATTGATGCAGATTTGTTTCATTAGATGTATATCCTTTTCTCCTGCATTTTAGCTGTAGCCATTGGGGTATGACATAACTACAATGTTATTTGAGAAGGCAATGCTGGTCCTAAAGGCTAAAAAATTTCCATAGTGAGGATGAAAACCAATATGTCAATAACAGATTATGCTCTTTATTGCTTTTCATAAAAACATCCAGTATCATATGTCAGTAACTTTTTTCACATCTGTGAAACAGTTTACCTTTAATATAAAGTTTTATAAATGTCCCTCCCAGACCACGACCAGGGACTGGGACAAGGCCTTATCGCAGTATGTCCACGGAATGCACTGCTGGATTATTGGGTGCAGATGAGTTGTGCAGATTTTTTAAGTCATAGACATGGATTACCAGGGACTTGCACACAAATGTGCATTGTCAAATCATGAATGTTGACTTATGTAAAGCATTTGCATTTGATTGGTTGACGTACGGTGCATCTCTTTAATCTCCAAAAAGCCATGATCATGGCTCCAGGACTGCACCCAAAACCAACCCCCAACTTTGCTTTTAGAGACTTATGATTTTTCCCTAAAATTCACTCAAACAATAAATAAATCCGAAGCCTTAACCCAAAGAGCTCCTAACTTCATATAACCTTTTCAAACATGTTTTGTAATGAACTGACTGATGTTGTGTTTTCAGGCCAATTGGAAGTCAGCAGCAAGCGTCTTCCTCTTTGAGAAAATCTAACAAAAACTGTTGTTGTCACCCAAATGAGACTCCCATCACAAGTCTCAGGAGGTGGAGGCGCCTGAACATGTTTTCCATTTTAATTGGATGTTGACCAATACCGATGCTGATATGTAGACAACACGGTCAGCCGATGGCCGATGTGTTCTGCCAATTTTTGTGGGCCAATTTTCATGGCAGATATCTAGATGTTTATTTTTTTGTTATAATGTCATTAATAACATCAGTTGGTGCTCCAAATGTCTGAAGCCGAATCAGTTTTTGAACTTTGAATTTAAATGGTAAATCTTAACTTTGTGCTTTGCTCAGTGTTAAAGTCAGACACCTAAATAAAGTTAATGTAAAAATACATTTAAATAAAATTCTGCAACAGCACCGGGCTGCCCGAGGATGTGCCTGATTTTAAATAGATTTTACTATCAAATATCAGCCGGTGTATGAAGAAACTGTAAATATCCTCTAGTTTCAATGCATTAATACTACTGCGGGTACTTTTTAAAAACTAAATTAGCTTCTTTTGAATTTGCTGCTACTGATTTGATATTTAAAGTTATCATTCATGATGGTTTTCTGCTTAGATGTCTGAAACCTTTCTCCTATTTTTAGGCATTGGTTACGCCTCCATTGTGATCGTTTCCCTCCTGAATATCTACTACATTGTCATCCTGGCCTGGGGTCTGTACTACCTGTTCCAGGTGAGGAGAAGGCTTTGTTGTTAATTCTAGGATTATTCTGATGACTTTAGTGCCCGTTTTGTTGATGTTAAACATAATAAACAAAAATGCCGTGCTGAACTGTAGTTGAGCTGTTAACCGGGAGGACAGAGTGGGGTCTGCACGTTGACCACTGACAGCCCTCCTGCTCTCTTACCTTCCAGTGTTTCCAGCCGGAGTTGCCCTGGGCCAAGTGCAAGCAGCCCTGGAACACAGATCACTGCATCGAGGACACGTACCGCAAGAACAAAACCATTTGGTTGGCTGCCAACGCCTCCAACTTTACCTCCCCCGTCACTGAGTTTTGGGAGTAAGTTACATAAAAAAACACACCGGCTCATTTCCTCACTCACACGCACACACACACACACACACACACACACACACGCACACGCACACGCACACGCACGCACGCACACACACACACACACACACACACACACACACACACACACACACACACACACACACACACACACACACACACACACACGCACACACACAACTGTCATGGGGGCATTTCTCACCATTATGAACCATTGTTTGGTGTTGCAGACACAACGTGCTGGGAATCACCAGTGGCATCGAGGAGATGGGTCCTGTGAAATGGGACCTGGCCCTGTGTTTACTGCTCGTCTGGGTCATCTGCTTCTTTTGCATCTGGAAGGGTGTGAAGTCAACTGGAAAAGTACATTCATGCAGCAGCTCTTTTTTACGACGTATAGCAATTTGTTTATCCAGAGGAGCAAGACTTTTATTCATCTTAAAGATGAAGGAACCTAAAAAACGCTCGTGTGAATGTTCTAGTAGCTGTGGTCTGACAAAGACAAGCTGAACTACACCCACCGTGTTCTTTATCTGAGTTCATCAGCTAGTTAGTTTGCTATTTGAATCTTTGATGTTTTTCTGTGTAGTATGACTGTAAAACTGGTTTAATAGGGATTAATGGTTTCCATATTTGGTAAACGTTGCTGTATCTTTACTGTAATATGTCTGATTTAACTGGAGCTTCTTCATCGCCTCTAGTGAAGGCCGAGCTTTAGCGCAGCAGGAAGAGGTGAAAACCAGCATGTTGGATGTGAATAACGTTACATTTTGACCGTCAGATTGGTTCTTGCAGGAATTAAGCAGCACTCATTGTTTGTGGAATACAGCTACAGACACTTCTGGTAGTTTTTCATTTAAACTCTGTCTTATGGAGGGTAAATGGCTGCCATGGTGACCAGAAAACAGAATTTCCCCAAGTCCAGACATGATCAGTCAAAATCTATTCTTTTTATAGCCTCAACGCTCTTCATCGATTGGTCTAGTCTGATAAATGGTCTCTAATTATTGTTGCTTGTAATAAAATCACTGCTACAAGTTCAAGTGTGGTCACCGCCGTCCACAAAGCGGATAATGTCACTCAGATATTGATCTTAGTGACCGCCTGGGATCTTCCCCCTAATCTGTCTCCATCTGTGGTTAATAATCTGAAAGTAAAAGCCAAGTTAACGTGGTTCCGAAACACATTTATGATAATGACATCAAAGAAATTTGCTTTTGGAGCAAATCAATTTTTTTTTTAACTGGAGCGTGAAGATGCATTTACATCGCACTGATTATCTGTGTGTGTGCGTGCGTGTGTGTGTGTGTGTGTGTGTGTGTGTGTGTGTGTGTGTGTGTGTGTGTGTGTATGTGTGTTTCAGGTGGTTTACATCACAGCCACATTCCCATTCGTCATGCTCATCGTCTTGTTGATCCGTGGGGTGACTCTGCCAGGTGCTTCTGAGGGCATCAAGTTCTACCTGTACCCTGACCTCAATCGTCTGAAAGACCCAGAGGTATGTGACATAATTTGCTGTTTGGCATGAAGAACCTGTTGGCTGATCTCCAGTTATAGTCCGTATTCCCTCTACTAGGCCGTACGTTTGTTCTTGCAGGGTTCTCAGCATGTCAAGTCCATCTGGCTGGTCAGGAATTTTCCAAATTTAAACTGGAAAATAGGAGAACTTGACAGTGGAACCAAAACTGGGCCAAGAAGTTAAAAAACAAACAAACTTCAAGCTAAAACTGGACTTGCAAACTGTTGTAAGACTGGGCATAAACATTTGTCAAATTTAGTGAAACTGTCTCTGCGTTGTTGAGAGTCTGTTTAAACCTCAGATCAATGTTCCTGTTCAGGTTCTCCCTTTAGTGTTAACGACTACAGACTTACACACGCAGAAGGAGTTGAAATGTTCACCCCTCCTTTATGTTGGCTGGCTACCTCCATCTACAGCAGCTCAACCAGTCTAAAATGTTTTATTTCAGCATTCAAACACCACACTCAACCTATTTTTACTCATTTTGAAACTGATTTGGTTACTCTGAGTTCAACATGAAGGCTGAACAAGAAAATAGTCTCCTACCCATCTACTATATAACCTTCTACTATACCATCTACTACACCATACCAAATACATTTGGTATGGTGTAGTAGAATGATTTACAAGGCATTCATTCCTACTAGAGACCACTGCAGATGTATTAAAATTAGGAGTAAACTTGACCTTTAAATGTAATTATTTAAATTGATAATTGGTTGTAAATATTTTACATTTGACTCCTCATGATGGCCTCCTCTGTGCTTTTCCTCATCAGCAAGCCTTAGCCTTTCTCTCCCCCCTTTATTTGGCAGGTGTGGATAGATGCTGGCACTCAGATCTTTTTCTCCTATGCCATCTGTTTGGGCGCCATGACATCCTTGGGGAGCTACAACAAGTACAAATACAACTGCTACAGGTGAGGCGTCAGTTTTCAGGGGTGGGGCTTAGCGCTAGGGAAGAGGGAGTGGAGGGGGGTGGGTGCAGGGGATCCTTGTGTGTTCATTAACAAATCCTCCTCATGACATATGTGTGACATAGGGACTGTTTGCTGCTGGGAGCCCTCAACAGTGGTACCAGTTTTGTGTCTGGCTTCGCAATATTTTCCGTCCTGGGCTTCATGGCACAAGAGCAAGGGGTGGACATTGCTGATGTGGCAGAGTCAGGTACGAGGGTTCTGTAAAGGCGGCAGTGATGGTGGGCGCTGCTTCCTGGTTAACAAATTAAATAACAGTAATAAAAGAAAAAAAAAACAAGAAAAACAGCAACGAAACCCAAAAGAGAATCAGCCTCTACGCTCAATTTTGTAATGAATCCTGGAACCTAATGGATTTCCTCATCAAACTCAAATGACGGCATCGGAATATGGAAGCTTCCGCAATCAAACACTCCTTGACATAAGCAGAAAATGAGAACATTTGGTCGGTCTGTTAGGGCCCAAAAAGCAAGGTGGCACCAGTGGACAGACAGTAGAAAGAGACAGTTCTTCCTGGTAACGAAATCCGTTCATGGTTTCTAGTGCATCTTGTGCCAAGGTGATGTCTTTATCATGCTGAGGTTCTGTTTGGAGGTCTTTTATTTGCAAACTGATGCTGTTTCAGTGCTTTCTGTTAACCTGAGGAGTATTTATGCTCAGTGGCAATGAGCTCCACCAGCTTTGTGCACCTTTATATGCCAACATGTTTCCACGGATTTTTGTTTTCTCTTCCAAAGTCATTGAGATAAAGAAGCCCAGTCAGCGTTTCACGTGGTTTTAACTCCTGTCTGTTTTTTAAATCTATGGTAGAAAAATCTATGACTCACTGTGAAATAACAAACCAAAGTGACGTGGAACGAAAGCCTACATTTGGAGTTTGTTTGGGAAAAAGCTGTTTTCCTGTTTCCCGTGGAACGCTAAAATCTTCAAGCATGCTAATAGAGGTCAGCTGACCGATTCAAAAGAAGTCCTTTTTGGCATCAATAGTTTGTGTGGAATCGAAGGATCCAAGATAAGAGAACGTTCTCCATAAACGCTCCATGCTTCCAGCCCAGTCGATACAAATATTGCACAGTTCTGCAGCGCCAGCGTAACGGGGAGGTTTGCAGAATTGTCCAATGTCAGTGTTGTTTGGTGAGTGGGCTGATGTAGGTGTCTAGGATTACAGTGTTGGTCAGAGAAGCTCAGTTGTCATTACATTTGTAATGAAGTGGACCTTTTCAAGACCCTTCCTTTTGCCTCGGCTGTAGCTGCTTGGCCTGAACGAATACTACCCATGGGACAGAATACATAAAGAGTGGCTTTTATTGTGCAAAGGCAGCACACGTGTTAATGCTTTTGTCAACCAACGATTGTTCTCTTCACCGCTACTATCTAAGCACCTGACCCTAAATGAGCTGAGATATTTCCGATCTGCACGTTTCCCTTTAAGGGCTTGGAATGTGGTTCTACCTTTGAGTCAACGTGGTGTTTGGTTGGATGCCTCGTCATAATTTCCCACTAAAATGGAACACATTGGTACGTCCCACTACCAGCTAAGATGCTGTTTTGCTGTTGTGGCTGCTCCCTTGTTTCTGTTTCCAGTTCCCAACAGAGCGTCATTGTCAAATTAGACCTGATTGAAATATAAATTAACAAAAGCCTTTGCCTTTTATTTGGTCACCCAGTTTGCATCTGTTGCTGTTTTGTAATGGTCATTTTGCATTCCTCACAGCGAGGATGCACAATGGCTTGAGTGGCATTGATAAACCGAATTTATTTGATGTGCTTGATTTCTTTTTGGAGCATTTGGGACCTAATTGACAACAACTTAAGCAGTGGTCACAGTTTTTGGTTTTCTCTCCTAGTTTTGTAAACTGTACACGCATACAGTATATTCACAGAATGCTTTAATGTTGCTGTCATAACTGACTTACTTCCACAGAGATGCAGCCTCACAAACTCGTATCGCATGATTTCAAGCTGTCCTGTTTAGTTGTCATCATAAGTGAGGAACATGAAACTGTTGTGTGATGAGTGTGTAGTTGTTAGTGTGTCATATCTTGCTGCATGTAAGAGGTAAGTAAAGATGTGCATAGATGTGTTTGTCTCCATGACAACACCCACCTTTACATGAATACACATAAACATGCTCCATGTTTTATAGCCATCTATGACCAGTTTTTTCCCATCTTGCTCTGCATTTCTACGTTTTGGGGACACGTTTTCCCCACACGGATGCAGATCAGATAAAATTATCATATGATACTAATGTAGCTCGTCCCCCACTCCCTTCTGTCTGCTCTCACCCCCCTCCCCCTCCCTCTGCAGGTCCCGGCCTGGCGTTCATTGCATACCCCAAGGCTGTTACCATGATGCCTTTTCCTACACTCTGGGCCATCCTCTTCTTCATCATGCTGCTGCTGCTTGGCCTCGACAGTCAGGTCAGCAGACACATGAAACTTTCACACACCCGAAGGTTTTTGTTCATAAGTATGTAAATAAACAACTGTTTCACAATCAGCTGGTGAGGGCAGAAGCATGTCATGTGTCTGAAAAAGCTGGTGCACAAACAAAAGGGCATTTAATGATCTGAAATGACGATGGGCTCTGTTGTGTGCTTTTAGGGCTCATGGCTAAGAATTGAGGCTAACAAGGCTAATTTAGTAAAGCAGCACCAAACCACAGGACACACTTGCTTTTGGACTTGGTCTTTGATGCTTTTACTTTCAGCAAATGAGTTCAAAGAAATAAAAAGCAAAGCTGTGAGGCTGATGGTTGAAGTGGGCAGGTTGGTGAACTTGTCTGTTTTCTCCTGCAGTTTGTGGAGGTGGAAGGGCAGATCACATCACTGGTGGATCTGTATCCATCCTTCCTAAGGAAGGGTTACTGCAGAGAGGTTTTCATCGCTATCATCTGCTGCATCAGCTACCTCCTTGGACTTACTATGGTTACCAAGGTAACGACACAATGAAATAGGAATAAAACAGGGTGTACATTATTAAAGACTATAGGAGTTATCAGAAAACATGGTTCAACTGAGCTGATGCAAAACTGGAAACTGTCTCTGCAGCATAAGAGCAGCTAATCTAGCTCTCAGCATGCACAAGTCATGTCAGGCATCCCAAGGATCAGCCGGGGTGAGGTTGCTATTACAGTAAATCCCACGAGGGGGAGAGGGAGGGGGAGTTCTCATGACTTTTGTTGGCCAGTTATGAGAACTTCCTTTCCATTCTCTGGTATAAATAGTTCTAGACCTAATTTAGATTTTCCTAAAGCTTTTGGAAAATCTAAATTTGGTGTTTTGCTTCCCTTTCTGTCATTTTTCTACCGTTTGTCATCACTGCTTATTTTTCCTGCTCTCCCATCTGGATGCATCCCAACTTGTTTGTCTCTATTCTCAACTTAAAACCAAACATTAAATCTGTTTTATTTTTCATCAGGTTGTTTTTCTGTCTACGTTAAATTAAAATGAGTGTGACTAAATCACCCCGGCCCTTCATCAGCAGGTAGCACAACGTCCCTGGATGAATGGCTGCACAGAAACAACTCCTAACTCTGTGACTTTTATAGAGATTTAGCTCAAACTCTGAGTTCTGACAGATCATTTAACATCTTTGATTCAACCTTTGCTTTTACGTTTTTGGGCTGTTAGCAGAATATCAGTGATCCGGTGAACTCACATGATGGTTCCCACAGTTAATGGCGTTAATGTTAAACATTAGCAAGCATAAAACACAGATAACATGGATCTTTTTTGAAGAGAGTACATTTAAATCAACTGCGTTTACTCCTGAATGCCGACAGATCTCCGGAGAGATGGGATTGTTTATATTTGATCACAACAGACATACAATCATAGTTTCCATACAAAAGTTCCTTGATTTTCACATTTGCTGCCCAAATTCTTTTAGCCTGGTGGGTTTAATTACTGACCATCTGTAAACCAGTCTGTTCAGAACAGGAGCTTATTTATATGAATATTTGGTTTTGTTTTACTGTTTAAGTCAGAAACCTCCTTTTGTTTGTTCCAATAACTAAAACTCTCCAATCTAAAAAACAAAGTTATTTCTTTTCCATGACAGTGTCTTTTTAAAGCGGCAGTGTCCTGATTTAACAGGTTTTCACACACTTGGGAGGATGTGGGGGAATGTACCTGAATACTTCTCGTGTGCAAACGCATCAGCTGTTCTTTGTTTGCATTTTGTTTTGTTTATGTTTATGTATTTAGCAGACGCTTTTGTCCAAAGCTACTTACAAGTTATAATCGGCATGTTGCCCTTGAGGCTAACAACAACAATAACAAACAATTTCCAGTCAGTCGTAGGTGGCAGTGAAGCAGCATGATGAATCATGGAGAGGAGGGAACAAGGAGTGGACAGTAGAGAGGGGGGCGGGTGCAGGGTGGGTGCTAGTTGATGAGATGCTCTCTGAAGAGCAGGGTCTTCAGGAGTTTCTTGAAAGTCGAAAAGGAAGCCGCTGTTCTGTTAGTGCTTGGTAGGTCATTCCACATTTGTGGAACGATGCATGAGAATAGTCTGGATTGTCCTGAGCGTGATGTAGGCACTGCTAGCCGACGATCCTGTGATGACCGGAGCGGCCGGGCCGAGACGTAAGTCTTTGCAAGAGGATTCAGGTAGATGGGAGCCGTACCATCTCAGACTTTGTATGCTAGTGTTAGCTATTTGAATTTGATGCGTGCTGCTAGCGGTAGCCAGTGGAGTTCAATGAACAGAGGGGTGACGTGTGCTCTTTTTGGCTGATTGAAGACCAGACGCGCTGCTGCGTTGTGGACCATTTGAAGAAGTCTCACAGTACAGCCTGGAAGACCAGGTAGAAGGGCATTGCAGTAATCGAGGCGGGAGATGACGGTAGATTGCACCAGGAGCTGGGTGGCATGTTGTGTTAGGTATGGTCTGATATTTCGTATGTTATACAGCGCAAAGCGGCATGAACGAGCAACAGAGGCAACATAATCTTTAAAGGTCAGGTGTTCATCAATCACAACACCCTGATTTCGAACTGCCTTTGAAGGAGCCAGAGAAAGGAAGTCATTTTGGATTGAGATATTGTGCTGTATGGATGGTTTTGTTGGGATGACAAGTAGTTCAGTTTTAGAGAGGTTGAGTTGGAGATGGTGGGATTTCATCCATTTTGATATGTCAGAGAGACAGTTTGATATTCGTGCAGAGACAGTGTGGTCATCCGGTGGAAATTACAGATAGAGCTGGGTGTCGTCTGCATAGCAGTGGTAGGAGAAGTCATGTGATCAAATGATCTCACCCAGTGAGGTGGTGTATATGGCAAAGAGAAGAGGTCCTAGTACAGAGCCCTGGGGGACTCCTGTGGCAAGATGGTGCATGGTAGAGGATTGTCCAAGGCAAGATACACTGAATGATCATCCTGTTAGGTACGATTCAAACCAGGCGTGTGCTTTTTCTGTGATGCCCATGCTAGAGAGTGTGGACAAAAGGAAGCAATGGTTGACAGTGTCAAATGCAGCCGATAAGTCGAGCAGGATAAGCACTGAGGATTTGGTTTTAAGTGTAACACATGAAACGTGTCATCTTTTAATCTGATAATGGCAGAAACTCCTCATCAGGACTGCAGATTCTGTAAAGTCAGTCTCACTGGCCTGTGACTAGTTGGGGACACAAAAGTACAAGAAAATATTCTCAAAAGAAATTTCACTGAACTGATGCTGATGTTTGGTGCATGTTTGGGTGTGTGGGACACTTGATGCAATTGCTAACAAATTGAGACTGTCTTATTGAAGTCCGGTTAATTCCCTCATTTTCTTTGCAGTTTGGTTGTGTCACTTTTCTTGCACTTCTGACTCACAGAAACTAAATAGTGGAGGAATTAAAGCATTCAAGTTCAGATTGTGATGTGTTCAAAAATTCTGAACAGTTTCAGAAAACATCACATTCATCTTCTGTAACCACTTCCTGTTCAGGTTCAGAGGTCATTCACTCATACCAGGTGACAAATTTCAGTCACTAGTTAAGCTAACTTTTATTTTTTATTGTCTTTGGGAGAAAACTGGAGTGCCTGGAGGAAATCCATCCATGCAAGCAACTCTTTGCAGAAAGGTCACAGCCAACAACCTTCTTGCTGCGAGGCAACAGTGCTACAAGCGGTGCCTTCATGCAGCTCCTTTAAGAGGAGATTCAGCTAACACACGTTTTGAAGAAGTTCTTACCATTAGAAATTGAGAGCCCTTGTGAACATCGCAAGGCTCGTGAATGCCTCCGACATTTACAGTGCAGTGATTTTATGGTTCTAAATAATAATACAGTGCACAGATGCTACAGTTAAGAGTTTGGTAAAAACAAACTACAGAGAAGAAGTTAACTGGGATTATTTCTTCCTGCAGGGTGGCATGTATGTTTTCCAGCTGTTTGACTACTATGCAGCTAGCGGTGTGTGCCTTCTGTGGGTGGCATTCTTTGAATGTATTGCTGTTGCCTGGGTTTATGGTAAGCATTAAAACATCCTGTGTTTGCATAGCAACAAATATGATGCAATTCATTTGAAGAGCAGCTTAAAATGCCCAAAATGATGTTTTTGTTTAGGAAAAACCTGTTTAGAAAAGCAGATGAAGTGACATTAGTATCAGAACACATCCAAAAGATAGCTTGTGTAAACATGGATTACCTCAGAAGCTGTCTAATATCACACACTACTGTTGTTTTATAGAACAATGTGTTTATTTTACACTCGAGTCCATATCCAACAGATGTTGTGCTGAATTTGCAGGCGCTGATAATTTTTATGATGCTATCGAGGACATGATTGGCTACAGACCAAATCCATGGATGAAATGGAGCTGGACTGTCGTCACTCCTTTACTGTGCATGGTGAGGACTCGTTGATGACCTGATGATAGTTCAGTCAGACTGGTGTTAGAATTCTTGCTCTCCTTCTTTTTCAGGGCTGTTTCTTCTTCTCTTTGGTCAAGTACAAGCCACTGACATACAACAAGGTGTACCAGTACCCTGACTGGGCCATCGGAATAGGCTGGACCCTGGCCTTGGCCTCCATGATCTGCATCCCCATGGTGGTTGTCATTAAGATCATTCGATCTGATGGGCCACTCATCGAGGTTGGTAGACACGTCTGCAAGTCTTGTGTGTGGACTAATGATGACCTGACCTGACCTGATGTAGACATCAGCTGGAGACTATTGTTTATGCTGTCGGCATTTTCCTCAGCTGAAGGGTTGAGGCTGATTCATGCTTCTCCGTCAGCTCCGCAAGGGACAGACACACACAGATTGACGGAAGCGTTTTGCCCTCATACTTCTCCGTCTCCTGGAGAGTGTTGCAAAGCAATTCCCCGGCAGGACAATCGAGGGCGTAGCGCTGCTCTGTGGTATCCTGTCATGTATCGGTCCAAGATCGTTTGTTTATATTGTGTTTTTGGTATATAAGAGACTTTTCAACACGGACATATTTGTCTCTCATTCTCCTCCACCTCTTCACGGGCTCGCCATCTCTAAACCCACGTTTCCTGTCATTTCCGTCCACAAATAAAACACTTGCTGCGCATCTTTTCACTCATCCATTCACGGGGGAATGAAACGTTCATATTTTTGAGCTTTTTCGCGAGGTATTCTACAAGCTTCTCCATGTCTGCCGCTAGTTATTCTCGGCTCTATTTATGTTTTTGAGGGCGCAATGCCGGCGCTGTAGACGACAGCGGTGCCCTGGCCAATCACAAGCTTGCGTTCTCCGTCTCGACGGACGGATGTTAAAAAAGTGAGCTCGACTCCGTACGTACTTGCATGCCTGCCGGGGCCCTACGCAAGGATGGATAATGGCGTTGCATGTCTCCGCACTGATGCAGACGGAGAAGCATGAATCAGCCTTTAGGGTTGTGTGTAATCATCAGCTGTGTCTTGTTTTTATGGTGAGTAAAACCAGCGGATTTTAAAAGTAAAGACTCGGCACCTTTTCCTGTGCAGATAAGAGGATCTGCGTGTGATCCAGGTTAAACAGATTAGGAGCCATTAGCTTTTGGAGACAGAGTCACTCTGGTGGAGTCTACGAATCAGCTGATCAGCGATGCTAGTGTAGCAACGTGAAAGCTGTAAACATATATCATTGGTTGTTCTTATTAAAGCAATTTACATATTTATTTTACTTCAAACAGGTGAAATGTTTAATGTCTACCAAACAAAACGTGAAAGTGGTCCTGCCGATCATTTTGAGTCTCTTATGTGTTTCACACCTCCGTACTCTTTTCGTTCTACCATCATTAACTCTTCCTTGTGTCCTGCAGAGGATCAAGGCCGTGGCGGCCCCCGTCCGCGGTGGAGCCAGCTCCCGTCCTGCCGACCACCGCGGCCCCAGTGAGCTCACCCTTCCGCTGGACCCCAACGGGAACAAGGGCATTCTGATGAAGGCCCCCACTCACACGATCGTAGAGACCATGATGTAAAGGAAGGAGGAGGCGGGTCTCAGTGAGATCCTCTCCTGACCTCGGATGCTTCTGAAGCTAGCTAGTTTTCCGTCTGTCTTTGTCTTTCTGGTGGACTGAAAAGGGTTTGAAGGAAAAAAAAAAAAACTCATGCTCCAAATCTTTTAGGAATACTTTTATTTGCTGCAGGTGGATTTTAAAAGAACAACAAATCCTAAATCTATTCCAGAAGTCCTTTCTCGTGACACCACAACAGGGTCAGTTGGCTCTGACCTCCGGTCATATGCAGCTACTTTCACCTATAATCAGCCTTTGTTCCCGACAAGAGTCTGCAGATGGAGGTAGTCTTTTGCAAAATGAACAAATAATTTGTTCCGAATGTTTTTTCATCTCACAATTTTCCTAAAGCTTCCCAAGGTAAACCCCGAGAAGGTGTTTTTTGCAGCAGAAAACAACCCTCCCAGCTCAAACACCCTGATCTCCTCTGATTCTGCAGCTCAAACAGAAAAACCTAACCCCACAACATCCAAAATCACCTGGTCGTGCACATGCAGAAGTATCTGAGAGGATTTGAAGTGTGGAGGCTGAACCCTTGAGTGTGTCATCTGTGGCGTACTGTACAGTAGTAGCTATCAGTCTATATCTATCTCTGTATCTTTTGTGTCCTAGACCAGTTCACAGCACACTAGATGCTGCAATAGGCACTCTTGGCTCAAAGTTTTCAATTTAATCTGTTTTATTTTCTGCAGAGGAAATGATATAATTATTATTATTAGTTTGTTTTTGTCCTCTGCAGGAAGTGTTTAGGTTATTTTATTATTCTGCTGTAGTTTTACATTGAAGAAGGAACTCTTCTTCCATCTAATACTAAGCTATTATACAAATAACACATTTAAAGTTGCAGCCTTTATACTACAGACTTCATGTTGCATTTTTTCAGCCTTAGACCAACATATATACGTTTTTATTTTCTGCATTCACAAACAACAATATAATTTTCCCAAACATTAACTTGTATGCAAGGTATGGGTGGATCGTTTATTGGCTGCAGGCGTTTCTAGCGTTCCTCCTCTGTAAGCAGCAGGGACCCATTGGCAAGCATCAGACCAGGCGGGGCGCTCAGGCCAGTAACCCAACTGCACATGCTGTAGCTGGCTGATGGAGCTTCCACAGCCGCCACGTTGCTCCGCCTCCATGGACAACTAGCTGTGAAAAGAGCTTTATTTTAAAACAAAAGTGGCTCAAACGAGCAACTAAACATGAAAAATGCACTTTTTACAATTCCCAAAAGTCTGTCGCCGCTCTGACTCGACAAAAAGTCGTGTCTAAGAAATAATTTCAAATAAACTGAAGATTACCTGAGACCTGGAGATTAAACCCGAAGAAGCCAAAGGTGGATGAAGAGTTAAGGATGAGTCTCTCTTATTAAACTGGATTGGACATCTGTCGGCGAATTACAAAACATCATTTCCATTTGGGTATTCAAAAAGTAAAATAGTGAAGCTGCGGCCTTTTATCTGGCTGATGTGTAGAAGTAGTGACAACACACTGGTAGCGGTCACCAGGGGCCATAATAGTGAGGATGTGAACGATCGAGAGCAGGCAACGTAAGGGTCGTTGTTGTTTTCTTTTAAAAATGTCTGTTACAGGATAAAAAAACAACAGTTTTCCGTGTGTCTGGTCACCAGCGATGATCTGCTCAGGACCTTCCCTTGAATGCTTCAGTTTCCTGAAAACCACATTTCCAAAATCTGTATATTAGCTTTGGGCAGCAAAGCGGTAAAAACGGCCGTTTGAGACGGCGTTGGTTCATTTGTCACACATGAATGTGAAATCTGAGTTGGTGGTAGAAAAACAGCGAGTCAGTGAGGCTTTTTGCACATATTTATTTATATTTGATGTCATATCGAAAGATGAGGCCAAAAATAATACTCTCATTGATTTATTCAGGGTACTTTTGTGTAAAAATATCGTAGAGCTTTTTTTGTCTACCGATAAAAATAGATCAAGACCGTGCATGCAGACAGTTTTACAGAAATCTGACCAAAACCGAAGAGGCATCGTCACACCCAGAGCCTCAGTCATGTTTCTTTTGCTTTGATTTTTGCCATTTGTTACCTTTTGGTCTGATTCAACAGATTTGCTGAAACAAATCCACAGCAGATGTCTATTTTCATACAACTTTTCCAGTATCTTTGTACATTTAAATGCACACAACAAGCTTCATTATATTCATAAACTTTTGTACGGCTCTGGTTCTTTGCTCTGAAGGATCTTGGCACAAACATAAAAAAACGGATTTGCAGATCGTCTTTATTTTGTTCTGAGACACATCTATTCATAATGCAGGAGTTATATCAGAATATTTGTTTCTGAACTACAAGCTGTTTAGATTTTCTTCTCTAGATGTGATTCAAATGTTTTTAACAGGAATTCCAACATGGCTGTCAGCAGCTTTGTTTTTAAAGAGAGTGATTTTACGTCTGAAACTCCAACCCTGGTGCTGAGATCCTTTTGTGGCGGGAACCTAATGACCAGATCAGAGCTGATTCTGTGTACATGTTCAGCATCCCGTTTCCTGTCCGTTCACCCCTTTGTTTTCAGAAAGACAACAAAAAGATGATTGATGCACAAGTTTTTATCAGCGAATGTTGAAATGTGAAAGTCACCTGCGGGTGAGTGTAACCGTTCTGAAGACTGATTTTTTTAGCATGAATAAAAAGAGGTTTTTTTTTTCTAAACTGATCACTTTTTCTTGAGTTCATCATGTTTGGTTTTCTTGGTTTGGTCACGTTTTTTCTTTTATTCCACATATTTAAAGCTTCAGTTAAACATGTTTCAAAAGCTCTGGTTTGTTCTGTACAATACCATTTTCACTGGTTTTGTTTCAAGAAACTGACTTAATGATATGAAAAGTAATACCAACAATTTTAAATGCCTAAAATTTCAGGGTCCACAAACATTCAGTCAGAAGAATCATTTTGCAGTTTTGGAATTTCGACCAAAATAAGACCTTTCGAGCTTCAAACGCTGAAAAATAAAGATTTTTTGTCAAAGGAAAAAGTTATTTTTAAACCCAGCAGCACTGCCACAACGCCGACTTTGTGAATGCCTTTTTAATATCTCAGCATTGTTGTTTCTAATATAAAACAATAAATGAATCAAGCCTTTTACTGAGAACACAATGACCAAAGTTCTAATATCTTATCTATGGGTCTAATCTTTATGCATCAATCCAGTCTGATGTTTGAGAGCTGCTAGAGGACAAACGTCTTCGATGCTTCGAGGAACGTTCCCAGCGTTCCACAAGCAGTAACCCTTAAAGACGACATCACATGTGTGCATCTGCCTTCTGCTCATTTAATGGTTTAAATGTTAATATGTCTGCTAGAGACCACCATCACCATGGAAACAGAGTCAGATCTGGTTTAGTTTAAGAACACATCAGCAGGATTCTGAGCTGAATGTCATAAATAAGTAGCATCAGCAGCAGGCGTGATGATTAAATAAAAACTACAAAGATTCATCACCCTATTTTTATCAGTTTCCTTACAGCATTAAAAAAAATTGCATTGCTGCAGATTGGATTCCTCCGATCTAAAATCTGATTAAACTTTATGAAATGAATGCAATCTCTGCAAAGTCTTCTGGGAAATGGAGTTCTCACCTCCCCACCTTTGATGGTCTTATTGGTGAAACCTGCTTTTTCCTGCTTGACTCCACAAACAGGCCCTCCTCTGTCCAAATGTTCTTGTTGAAATGTTTTTTATTCTTAATGAAGAAAAAAAAAACGTTTTTAAAGAATTGATTTAGTTTTTGTTTCAGTCGCCAAACTAAGCTAAAATAAAGTGTTTGAGGTTTTACTCATTTGTAAAACTCATTTTTTATTTCGTAATAAAACCTTTGTCTTTGGAATATCGATGAGCTGTCATTTCTGAGTCTGAAAACACACACACACGCACACACACCATTTTGGTGTTCCTCATGACTGCAGAATATCTAATGAACCAATGGATGGATGTTAATGGAACTCCAAGTATGTAGAATATATATATAATCTATAATAAATTATATTATAATCTATAATGTGTATAGGAAATGATGCCCATAAACAAATGAAAGACCAACTTTAATAAAACACAAAAGATGTTACAGAAACTGCAAATGCACCTACAAGTAGCTCGGAGTGACCCCAGCGCTCCCAGTGGGACCTTCAATCATTTCCCAACATGGACTCGTTTCAGTTTTCTGGTGTGAAAAGAAGCAGGTGAAATGTTCAGTCTTCCTATCAGGAGTCAGGTCTTTAGTCGGATCTGATCTGTCAGAACAGAACGGAGGAGCATCAAATAAGCATGCATGGGATCTTTAAGAAACCATGTAGGTGGTTCTAGTCTATGCTGACCCTAGACCAGCTCAGTGGCCTAGTGGTAGTGTTTACTCAAGAACCGGAAGATCAGGGTTCAAATCCCAGTCGGGTCATACTCAATGCCTCCCTGCTCGACATTCAGCTTTAAGGGGTTAGACTGACCACTAAATAGTTCCCGAGTGCGGCCGTGTCCACAGCTCACCGCTCCCCACTGGGATGGGTCAATTTTCACCACACACCAGTGTGAGTGGCATCTAGCGGGACTTTAACCCAATAAGCTGATGCAAAAAAGCTGAAATTGTATAAATATGACAGTTTGTTTTTTAGAGTAGAATTTTTTCCTGCATCACTCAGGAGCAGAAGTTTCTGATGAAGAGGTGATGATAGATGAGTTCCTTCATGATAAATGCGCGGACCCTGTCTCCGCCTGAAGAGCTGAGTCTACTGTGGTTCCTTTGTTCCAGCCATCAGGGCAGATCACTCGAAAGAAACACTTCCTTTTCTACAATGATGCTTTTGTTTCTGCATCCTAGCTATAAATATTCTGACAGGAAACCTTTTGTGAATTTGACTAAATGAATTATTTCATTTTCCACTTTTAAGTGTTGTTTATTAACTTCATAAAGGAACCCTGCACAAACAAATGGACCTGGCTTGTTACTGAGCAGCAGACACAAACGCTGCAGCAAACAGCTCCTTGGAGCTGGACATTGTTGAGAAGACAGCTGTGAGACTGATGGGTTAGGCTCCAGATGATGGAATCGTTTGACCCAAATTTTGTTTCGCAATGGGAGGTTAACACGTGCTGCTGATTCATGCACGTTGGGCTCTGAACGCAGCTCTAATGCCCAAGGCTAATTATCCCTCATTAGCTGCAGTCACATGACCTTTTTCATGTTTGAAAAATCTAAGTTGTTCTCATGGAAGTTTCTAAAAGCATGAACATATCTATTTTTACTCCAGAAGCAGGCTGACTCTGCTGCTTATTATAGCTTGACTGATGGTTTTCTACAGACACAATCATGACTATGAAGTTTAACTTTCTCGTGTGACCCAACAGAAACACACTTCTGGGTTTTGGGCACGTTTCCAAACCGCGGCCTGCCAGACCCACAAATAGATTTTCCTCTTGAGAATTCCTTCGTTTCATCTTCAGAACTTCTGCTGGCAAACACTCAAAGAATTGTCGCTGCATGTTTGCTTAAGAGGATTGTGAAGACTGTCACTAGTCAGTGACTCGATGCAACCTGCTGGGTTCCTTGTATAGGAAACTTTTCACTGATCATCTCAGTGAGCTGAACTGAACTGTAATTTTTACTGAGTGAAGAGCCTTGAGATGACTCTTGTCATGATGTGGTGCTATACAAATAAATTGAATTGAACAAGATGATAGATGAGTTCCTGAACACTTTGTTTGACTGGAAAGGAAATAGGTGGCAACGGTGGCACAGGACATAAGTGCTTGCTCTGTAATCGGAAGGTTGCAGGTTTGAGCCCCACTCAGTCTGTTGTTGTGTCCTTGGGACAGATACTTAACCCACCGTGCCTGCTGGTGGTGATCGGAGGGACCACCGGCACCTGTGAATCTCCCTGACACAACGCTTGTCCTAATATGGTGCTATATAAATAAACCGAATTGAGGTAGTAGTAAAATAATCTATCTGCTGTTATAATAATAGAAAAGCTGCAGAAAGGATGGAAAACTGCTTAACTATCTATTTTCATGCTTTTTTTTACACTTGTTTATGGAATCATTAGTCAAAGCAACAAGGAGCCATGCTGAAGTATCTCCAGCACTGCAGGTAGGTGTCTGGGTCAGGTGGTTTCACCTAAAAGTGCAATAAGAATCAGACACAAACACTTAAAAATTAGTCACTTTATTTTTCTGGTTTGTAATATTTTCCTTCTCAAAAAAAGAAGTTCAATATTTCACTTTGTTTCATACAAAATGAAAAGAAAGGTTAGAAACAAACTGACGAAAAACCAAAAGTATACGTTTTACTTTTCATTTCACTTTGTTTTTTTTTTTTTTTTTACTTTCTTCCCGTGTTTTGGAAGAGTAATGTTGTTGTAAAAATATTATATTACATAGAATAGAACTTTACACAGTTTGAAAACATTACACCATATCAACACAACGGCCCAATCCAGAATCGTATTAAATTTAGCACGTAAACGTCAGAATGTTCAAGACTGAAAATACAACTTTTACATACTTTATATAAAAATGTGTCACAGAAATATCAAAAACATGAATAATGGAAAACATAATGTGTGAACTCACTGTTACAGAAACTCTCATTTTAACCCTTTAATACCAAATGAATCATATTTGCTCCACAGTCTGACCTCTGTCTCTCTAACAGGACTAGAACATTCCTCCAACTTCTGCTGAACCGAATTCTGCTCAAGTCTTCTGCCTCCTTATGGAGAACAATTAGAACAATTCTGGTTGATGTTTCAAGATTTAAAGTCTCAAAATAGTTTTCTCTCCATTATTATTAATAATAATATGATGATACTACTACTACTACTACTACTACTACTAATACTAATACTAATACTAATAATAATAATAATAATAATAAGGGCGACGGTTGCACAGTAGTTAAGTGTTCGCTCCTTAATCAGAAAGTTGAAGGTTCGAGCCCTGCTCAGGCTATCACTGTCGTTGAGTTCTGGTCGCTAAACTAACAACCGTAGTGAGTCAAGATGGGTGAGTCCATGAATGTTACATGACAGCGTGACATAAATCTGTCAGGATTTTCTAATTCTAGATTTTCAATTCTAAGCAGATAGATGTAGACTTTTTTCTCATGTTCAGCAGGAAATAAGATCTTGTATCTAGTATTTGTTAGTGTTGCACACCTTTAGCATGCAGCTAATTATATTTCTATAAAACTGACTGTTGCTAATTCTGAATGTTTAATCTAATCAAATGAAAAAGTCTGAATTCATATTAGGTGAATAACATCAAAATTTTTACATCATTTACCTTCAAATTACATTAAAAGAAAATATTTAGATGGAATTCAAAATAAAAGTACTGCTGAAGTTTGGAAACAAATTTAAATACAATGTGTAAGTTCACATCAAAATGTTCAAATTTACATTTGTTGTAGTTTAAACTAAATGTTTAGCTAACATGCAATTTCAGAATGCTACAGCATAGCGTCAGCTTACCAAAATAAAAGCACGGTGAAGAGACGTCCTGTTGTCTGAGAGTCCCATGAGTCCCAGGTCATTTATTAACATCCAAACCAAAACAACACAGGGAGATTAATGTAGCAGAGCCGACATATAGTCTGTTAGACGAGGATCTCTTCATTTCACTTTTATTTTAGGAATGCCACGCCCATTCAACAGCAGTTATCTGAATAATAAGGTTTAAAAAGTTAGGTGTAACATCGTATATGAATCCGGCCTATGAGCCGTGAAGAAGTCAGCAAATGCAGAAGCACCTTGATGCAGCTGATGATGTAATAAACATTGTGTTATATAAGGACTTGTCCAAGGGGATCAGGAGGTAATGAAAACCAGCCAGTGTAGAAAAACCACAGTGTTTCTCAAAAGTGCCTCTAAGTAAAACGGCAATAATTCATCCCATAACTAAGGACAGTCTCCTAAAAGACAAATGAAATCAGACATCTCCATCCTACGGAGTCACGGTAGTTAAACAGTTTTAAAAGTTCAGTTTTATCACCTGGATGACAGATTGGAGCCATGGTCTACGGTTCTGGATTGGGCTTAAAACGAACCCAGAGATTCACATGAATTATGGGTGATCATACACACACACGCACGCACACACGCACGCATGCACGCACACACACACACACACCAATAAAACATCATTTTCAAAGGGTTTTGTCGCGTTCTCTACTGAAGTTGTTTTTGGCCACTTGGTTGCATAAAATGCACACAGACATGTTTGTTTAGCTAGTACATGTAAGCACAGTGTGTCATATTCAACAGTGTGCTTTTTATTCTCAGTGCCCTTTTCTTTCTTTTGTGCATTGAGTTCATGTCGTCCTGCGTCTCCCGCTGTGGGTCTGAGACGAGAGGACGGCTCATCCACTGCCCCTGAAAAACATCACCCCTGTACAGTGAAATGTACACCACCTAGTTTTCTAATACACACATGCATGCACACACACCTTAGACCCACACATTTACACACGGAGAATGATGCTTTTTAAGGAGGAGCAGCTGGATTCTAACTATCATGTAACAGCAGGAGGAAAGGGTGAAACACAGGCAGAGGGATGGAACTGGAGAAGGAACTGCTTTTGTCATCTCTGCCACCACACTGATCATTCTTCTGCAGCGTCTCCGAGCAAAAATGATTCCCTCCCGGCACCAGTGAAGTTTCAGTTGGTCAGCACAAAGATGCTTTGACACAAATGACAGAAAAGAAAATCTAATAAAACAGGAAGTAAAGGAAATGCAAACGCATGTCTGCTGTTGTAAAACCAAACCAAACGTGAGTTTTTGTTGGCTTGTTTCAACAAGGCTCACCACAGAGTATAAAACAGCTGGAAGAGCTATTTTAGTACATACATCTGTTCTGGAGACGGCAGTGATGTGATGGTCTCCACGTGCTCATTATGGCACATATTTAGTTATTATAACTTCATGATGTAATATCTGCATTCAGAAACTACCAACATGGACTCTCATTTCAGCTGTTGAGTTTTAATACGCATCCAGAAGGCAAAGAAAGTGTTTTATCTTAAAATGCTTTAAAATAAGATAAACTACTTTACGAACATAAACCTATGTTCTGGTTCTGAAGAGAAGAACATCACCGGACCCATTTTGTATGTTGCATTAAAAAACCCGACAAGAGCAAGAAAAACAATCAGAATTTGCAAGTTTGCCTTTTGAAAACGCCATAAAGTGCATGAAGATGTTAGAACCAGGTCCTGATGGGTGTTTTGTTTGTGTTCTCTCATTTTGTTGTCACATCTGAATAAAGATATAGTTTATAACAGCAGCAGAAAGAGATGTGAAGGGGTGACTGCATGCATGTGTTTGTGTGTATTTCTGTACGGGATTATTGCCAGCCTGCTTTTATATTCAGACCAGTTTCGGAAGATGTCTTTACAAAATGCGTGTGTGCGTGTGTGAGTGTGTACGTATGCGTGTGTGTGTGTGTGTGCATGTGTGTGTGTGTGCGTGCGTGCATGTGTGTGTGTGTGTATTACAGATCTAACGGGTGGTCTAAGGTGTTGTTATTGTCTTCTGGGTTGTCGTTGGCCATCGGATTGCGGCTGATGACCAGCTCCAGTCTGTCTCCAGCCTCAGTGATCAGAGGCACTGCCAGACAACAGTCAAAGTCTCTCGTCCTCACGTGGTTTACCTGGACAAAGATGAAAAATAAGACTTAGTAAAAAAGCTTACAGCTAAGATTTTATTATTTTTCTTTCTAAAATTTAACATGAACCCTAAATTTTGTGTTACCCTAACGTTTTCAATGTCAGACAGGAATATTTAGCTTTCTCTGGCCTCTGGCTTCATATCGGAGCTTTCTACAGCTATCACAAAATGTTTTCCTGGCAGTACATACCTACATCACTGCAAACAAGCAATATGCATGTGTTGGACCTTACCAATGCATGGCCATTAGGGTCAAAAATCTCTGGGAGTGTAACCTCCAGCTCAGCGACAAGCCCATCAGACTCCCTTTAATCACTGATGAGTGAATGTGTAAAACAACAACGTTTATCAATGATGAACGTTTTGTAACCACTTGTTACAACGTCTGGGGCGATGGTGGCACAGGAGTTAAGTTATTGCCCCGTGATCAGAAGGTTGAAGGTCCGAGACTCGCTCAGGCTGTCACTGTTGTTCTGTCCTTGAGCAAGACACTTACCCCCCCCCCCGCCTGCTGGTGGTGGTCGGAGGGACCGGTGGCATCTGTGTGCAGCAGACTCGCCTCTGTCAGTGTGCCCCATGGCAGCTGTAGCTACAATATAGCTCATCACCACCAGGGTGTGTATGTGTGTGTGAATGGGTGAATGACTTATTGTGTTGTAAAGCACCTTGGGGGGCTCCAGGACTCTAGAAGGCGCTATATCAAATACAGGCCGTTTACCATTTGTTGCAAATCATTTATACATTTTGTCCTCACAGGCTCCCGTAGAAGGAAACATGACATCTAATATGGTGTCGCCCAGAGACTTAGACCTGCTCCCATGTATTTTAGACCTGATTTTTATGGCTATAAGTTACAAAGCAGGCAATATTTTTCAGCCACTGGGCATCATGTAATTCAATTTCAACAACATTTTGATGGATGTTTGCAGAGATTAAAGGTAAAATGGTTCCTCTGATGATTTAAATTCACCTGCAGGATCCTGTCAAAAGGTTTCAGCCCAGCTCTGTCTGCTGGTCCATCAGGTCTGATCATGTTGACATAAACACCTTTCTCTAAGAAGCCATCAGACACACTGAAGCCAAAATCATCGCTCTCTGGGTCCTTTATCACCGTTACCTTAAAACGACAATAAAACATGTCAGACTGTCATAGCCAACAAGTCCCTCAACAATTACTTTACATTTCCAATGTGTCATTAAAGAATGTGAAAGTCAAATTTTTTATTTAATACTCCGCAGCAACTAGCAGTATTTTGGCTCAATCATATTAACGTGTATTGCTGCCTTTACCAAGAACAGAAACTGCACTGAGCTCACTTTGTGCAGCTCCAGAGGAGTTGGGGACAAGATTCCCTGCATCTCCTCCTTGATCCGACGCGACTCCCATGTTCTCTCCGACACTCTCAGAGAGGCCTTGGGCTTGGGCTCGTGGTGCAGGAGAGGAGATTGGTGTTCTTGGTGGATGTGGGCTCCATGGTGCAGGTGTGCATCCTGATCATATTGGACCTCCTCGAGCAGGTGGGAGTCTGAGTGGAGATCAATGAATCACAAAATATTCAGTGTTTTAGTAACTAAAAGGCTTTTGCATTTGGCTTTTTATTTCCTCTGAAATCACATCTGCCCCTGACCTTGATGAAGGTGGGCCTCCTCGTGTAGATGGATGTCCTGATGGAGGTGTGTATTCTGGTGCAGCAGGTTTCCTTGATGAAGAAGGGAATTCCTCCGCAGCGGGCTCACCCTACTGTGGCTCAGTATGGGCTCAGCCGGAGCTTTACTGCCACCATCCACACCCAGACTAATGGCTGTTCCTGTCATTATCGATGCCTGCACACACAAATCCCATACACACGCTAACACTCTACCCATGCTAATGCCAACGCTAGTATTAAATATTTAACTGGGTCATTAACTTGAAGTTTGCAGGTTAAAGAGCAACATTTTCAGTTTTTAATGAATTTGCAGTGGCCTCTCTTGATCCCTTTTAACAAAACACTGTCGTCAATTAGCTGCAACTCTGTGGCGGCATCAGGGAGACTTAGCTCGTTTAAAAGTGGTCAGACTGTGGCGGTAATATGGAGCAATCATGTCGTTTTTACAAAAGACTACGCAATGGTGGCATAAAGACAGTATGGGGCGGTTCCTGTGCTGTCGTGGACTTCTGTTTATCTTGGACAAAACTTGCTTTTTATTGCGATTGAAGCTGTGCTCAACAAGCCGCCCCTAAAGGTGTCTCTCCCCCACAGTCTGGTGATCTGAGCTCCAGCTCTAATGAAGAAACGCTCCAGGAGCGCTGTATTGCTCCAGTTTGCCATCTCAGCTGGTTTCGTTCAAAAAACAAAACTTACTTTTCAATGTAGTTGCCAGCCGGAGCTTGGCAGTAACTCCCCACATAATCATGGCACCTCCCTCTGTTGCGCCAAGGCACAAATTCCATTTAAATGACAGACAATTAGCACACAATTACTACCAAGCAAGGCGGAACGAATGTTACAAAATTTGTGTATCACCATGCTGGCATGGTGCGTTCATAAGACACACCGTTGTGGTAATACTACGCCGATTTGCCGGCACGGTGTGTCTTGTAAAAGGGCTTAGTAGGAATGAATGTCTTGTTAGTCATACTCAGGGGAAAAAATCCCTGGTGCGCCTGTTTCAACATGGATAATTCAGCCAGAGGGAAAAAAAGTTACAGACGGCAGGATCAGAGGAGTTCTGCTGTGTGGTGGAGTTGCTAATGCTAACAGTTAACTTCTACTAGCCAAGACATTCTCTGCTGTTTCCTGGACGTTAAACCAACAACAACCTTCCTCGTCGTGAGTCAAGATGGGTGAGTCCATGAATGTTAAAGAGACAATGTATTTTTACCAATAATCTCTGCAAACGTCCATCAACAAGTAATTGAAAATTAATGAAATGATGCTCAGTTGTTGAAAAACAATGCCAGTTTTGTAATATAGTGTGTAACCATCAAAATCAGGTCTAAAATTCATGGGAGCTGGTTTAAGTCTCTGTGTTTCCTTCTACAGTAGCCCGTGAGGACAAAACACATTTACTGATGTGTAACAAACGGTTACAAGACTTTGTCCATTTGTAAACGTCGTTGTTTTACACATTTACCTCTTCGCTTTACCCACTGATGAAAGGTGAGTGTGTGTCACGGATGTGTTTCATTTAGCTGGAGGTTGCACTCCAAGGGCTTTTTGACCCTAATGGCCATCCGTTGGCAAGGTCTTATTCAAACACAAAAATACAGATTGCTTGCAGTGATTTAGGTATGTAACTTTAAGTGACAATGTGACGTAGATCTGTCAGGCTTTTGTAATCCTAGACCAGGGGTCTCCAACCTTTTTGGGCCCATGAGCTCCTTTTACACAATGAAAGTACAGAAGAGCTACTGACATACAATTTATTCCCATTGATACTTTCCATGTGTGAATATGTTTTAACAAAATTTCGTTCCTGTACACTTTTTTCACAAAATTCACAATAAAAGGAATCTGAACCTGAAATGCTATATGTATTGTATTAACATGCATTGTTTTCACTAGTTGTTTTCTCTGTACTTCAGTGCATCAATCTTCTAAAAACGGAAATTTGTGGCATTCTGAAAATCAAACAAAACAAAACATTTTGTTTATTAAATTATCAGATACTTTCAGATACACTGGTCTTCCTGTTCAGTCCCTGACCCTGCTCTGCCTGAAGCCTGAGCAATTTTGTCATAAATGAACAAATCCTTCCAAAAACTGTTGAATGCCATTTAATGAACATTGAATGTTCTTTAAATGACATTTAATACAAAACCTTTCAAGTAATTGTTACGATTATTTTTTACAAACAATGCAACACAACAATTCTCATAAATGAATGAAAGCTGATGATATTTAATAAAATGTAAGCTAAATGTGATGAATTGAAGTAAAACATGTAAAAACATTTCCTCCTGCTTTCCTGATTCATTGAATCATTTTTATGGGTGTTTGCTTCAATAACTGCAGGAAAAATGATGCTTTTCTGTGTTTTTGTTGACAATATTAGAATAAGGTTGGATGTTTATCCGTTTACTCAGCCTCTGAGTCACAAAGCAGAAAGAGAGAGATTTAAAAACTGTGTTTTATCCTAAATGAGACAATCAGCTAAAACTGTTGAGGGAAATGTGTTGAAATCACAGGAGATGTCGAGAGATTGAAGCCTGTGTTCATCATGTGTTCATAAACAAACAGCATTTCATCAGAGTTAACGCGTTATTCCAGCAGTTAGGACTTTATTTTCAAGTCAAGTCAAGTCAACTTTATTTATATAGCACTTTACAACAGCATAAAAGCTGACCAAAGTATTTAACAAGCCTAAATGAACAGACGTTTCCTATTATGCTAAAAATAAGATAAAAGTTAATCAAAAAGCAAAAAACATGACAAAAAACAAACAAACTGACATAAAAGCTACTAAAAACAGATCCATTCACAAACTTAATTAAAAGCAACTGAGAACAGATGACTCTTTAAAAGTGATTTAAAACCCGACAGTGAGGAAACCATCCTAATCTGGATTGGGAGTGCATTCCACAAGCTTGGGGCTGCTACTGAATCACCCCTGAGCTTTCTCTTCATTCTCGGCACCTCCAGGAGAAACTGGTCGGCTGACCTCAGTGACCGAGATGGGGAGTGAGCTACTAAAAGTTCACACAGATACTGCGGAGCAAGGCCATGTACAGCTTTAAAAGCCAATAAAAGAGCCTTGTACTGGACCCTAAAATCGACAGGCAGCCAGTGCAGCGAAGCTAAAATTGGGTTGATGTGCTCCCTATTTCTCAAACCCGTCAAAAGGCGTGCTGCTGCATTTTGCACCATTTGAAGATGGGAGAGGTGAGACTGAGGTTGACTTGACTTCATTTTCATTTCATTTTTTGATTTTTAGAGCCCTTTACTGCTGCCAATCAATTAATATTGCCCAGATTTTTTTTTACTGATGATGTTTTCCTGTATATCCAACGTCACACCGTCCTCTTTGAGTGCATCTTCATCCAAATTAATTTTTGGGGACTAAAATGAAAATACAATAAAGACTAAATTATGACGACAACTGACTGACATTTACATTGACGAATAAAAGATGACAATGAAAATCGACAGAAACGAAAATCCAATCAGAATTTTCTTGTTGAAATGAACACTTTAACAAACCTCGATCTCTCTGAGAAGTTCGGACTGGCCACAGGTCTCTAAGTCCTCCAGAGCCTGGCACCAAAAACTGTCATCTGGATCCAACAGAATCCCATCTGGCTGTTGGCCAATGAATCTGTCACAAAGCAGAAATAAGGAAGATTGTCTCCTAATCTCATCTATTTATATTAAACGGACATTTTAATGAGAATAACCATTTAGCACAGCTAGAATGCATCATGTTTCTGTTTTTGTTGTGTGGTTAGGGTGAGATGAGTGCAGCTCAGTTATTAAATAAACCATAATAAAGATCATTTTAGTCAACATTGAAGCCATAATTACTGGACAGGTTTACTCACTGACTTGGAAAGAGAGTTCACATTTTAAAGATAGCGCAGGCAGAATTACATCAGCATGTGGCAAATTGGAGCTGTAAAGTGATTAAAACTTAAAAGTTATTAAAATTATATTATACTTAAATCAGTAAAAAATATTCTCACAAAACTACCATGCCATATTTAGGATATGAATAAAATAAATAAAAGATTTTAGTAAATTCAAAAGTTAGTTATGTTTTTACTGGATTGATGATGGTCAGGATTAAAACATGGATGGACAGGGCTGCTATAAAAGGAGAGAAAAGCCCAGAGGTCCAAACAGGAAGTAGGTCTGCATGGAATACATTTTTGAGGATCATCAATGCTTGGAAATCAAAACATAACAGGCCATCTACCAGAAGAGGTTTCCTGAACACTGCTTCACAGCAAGTGTGTGGGTGTCATGACTGATAATAATGGGCACTGACATCACAGCATCCAGACTCAAAACTCTACAGGCAAAAATAGAAATCTGGTGCAAAAGTCCATTTATGTCACTAATCCAGCTCAGACTGAGAGACCATCTAAAGCAGGGCTATTCAATACCGGGGCTCGAGGGGTGGTATCCAGCACGTTTTATTTTAACCCTGCTTCAACACACCTGATTTCAATCAGCAGGTAATTAACAGGCTTCTGCAGAGCCTGACACAGGTGGCTCATCCACTGAATCCAGTGTGCTGGACCAGAGAAACCACTGAAACATGCTGGTTACCAGCCCTCGAGGCCCGAACTTGAATAGCCCTGATCTAAAGGCTCAGGAACCCTCTGCAGATGTTCTGGATTCATCAGCTGGGTAGAGTGTGACACTTTGAGTCTAGAATATTGAAGCTTTTCACAATATTCTGAGTGTCTGAGATTTTGAATGTGGTGTTCTCCTCAACTGTAAACCAGAATCGTCACAGTTATAAAGGCAGAAATATCTGGATTTGCATGAATGAGTCTTTCCCAATTTCATCTTTTAGCCTGTTTACTGACACAAATGAACTTTTGCACCTGATTCTAGATTTTTGAAGTTTCACCTGTAGAATCAGTTCATGTCTAGCTTTATTTTTATAAGATCAATTAATGTTCTCTTTAATAAGTGTAACTTTACAGTTTACCTGTATGTGCTCACTTCCACATCCGCATTCTCGTTAATATTTTCACACCTCAAGGTTATTATTAGATTAAATGTTTTCCAGTTATTGTCCCTGTTCACTTTGAGAAAAATAAATTCTTTCATTTCTGCCCCAGACAGACAAACAGCTGGTATAAGCATGCTGACTAAACAGTATCCATATCCTTAAAGCGGTCTGTCCTCCTCCTAAAGCAGTGATGAAGGGGTGCTGCCTGAATGAGTGAATATATTTCTACATATAAGAAGCTTACTGTCATAGTGTCTGTGTCTTCCCTCATGTGTCCTCCTTCCTCTAGGTTCCCTTTTTGGGTCTCGTAAGCGCCCTCATGTGTCAGTTGTCCGCGTCTCATTTATGTTTGTAGGCCTTCATATCCTTCCCTCAGGTCCAGTGTTCATTTAGTCATCCCCAGCCCCTCCAATTGTAGCTCCAGCCTCTTGTTCCCCAGCTCAGTATATGTGTGATTGAGTGCATGTATGCGTCAGTGTGTGTATGTGTGTGTGTGAGTCCTTCCCTCAGTCTTAGGTCTAGTTTTATGTTTAGGTTTATCTGCCCTTCACTGGTTCTGTTTCCCCATTTGTGTCACCTGCCTTCCCTCCAGCCCTCACTCCACACACCTGCTGCCTGTTTCCCTAATTACTCCTCCCTGTGTATTTAAGCCCTGTCTCGTCTCTGTTTTGTGTCGGTCCATTGTGTTGTTTGTCAACGTTGTTTTTGGTGCTCTGTGTGAGCTTCGTGTCTTGTCCCAGGTTTTTGTGCTCTAAGTAAGCTTTAGTTCTAGTTCTCAGCTTTTGAGCTCCATGTGAGCTTTCGGTGTCCTGGATCTCAGGACTTTTGGCTCGCTGCCTTTTGGATTTAATTTTGTTCATCCTGCAATAAAAGGATTTTTACTTTATACCAACTCCTGCCTCTTGTCGTCTGGGTAATCTGCATTTTGGGTCCTAACCATCCCCTCAATGTGACACTTACAGGATAAATACATTTATATACATACATATATACAATAAGCCAAACCCTCCCCAGACAGCCACAACATCGATAAAACCAATAAGACCACACAGCAGCACCGCTAGGACAAGGATATTTGTTCCAACATGAATAAATTTTTTACACAGTTTTCCTCAGACTGAGAAGCTTAATACACTTTCACTGAGCAGATGCTGTTTTCCTCATGCCTCCTCTGTTGCCCCAGCTGAGTTATATAACTCCACTATCCTCACAAGGCTTAACCTCCTGACTCATCACTACACACACAGAGAGACACAAACACACTGATGCTCCGTATTCTCGGCTTGTTTTACTCGCTTCATGACGGAAACGTGGACATCACCAGTGTTTGGAGCTGAAGCTGGCACGTGCAACCAGAGGATAAACTCAGCCCTTAGATAATCATGGAAACTTTTTTGCTTAAGTGCATCCATCTCAGGGTGGAACTTCACTGGGTTGGGAGTGAGTCTATGCCTCAAGCAGATTTTGGTGTTGTGTCCAACGTAACAAGAAGGAACGAGGTGTGTGCCGATGGGTCAGGGCTTCATCTGCAGCTTTGCTGAAGTGAACAGCAAAGATTTAGTCAACCCAGGATTGTCGAAAATCCAGTATCTGACTGTCAGAGACACACCATTACAAGTAGCTGTGCTAATTTTTAGGTTGGGATAAACTGAGCAGCAGTTATATATATGTACCGGTCATGAGAGGAACGTGATGTAAGTCCTGGTAAGCACACTGCTCCATACCCCCTGAAAAGTCATTTGTGGAGTATATTATATAATTGCAACGTATGCAACAGCCGTGCAACTCGGAAAGTTTAGCATAAATGTTTTAATTATGTTTAAATTTATTTGCAAAAGAATTCAGATTTTTCATTTTATTTGGATGCAAACTCTTTGCACAGTTGTTGCACGTTGCTTGCACGTCTGACCTACAGAGAAGGGTTACACCAACACAGGAGACTACCCTGTGGTTATTTTCAGAGGGGATTTGTTGTGCAGATGCAAAATGACATAATGTGCACAAATGCACAGCTAAAGCACATTTTAGCCTTACCCTGGTGGCTTGTCCCAGTCATCTTCACTGAATCCTCCATCACTGAACGGGTAGTTCTTCCTTCGCCCTACAGGGGGCGTGGCATTGCACTGCTGTTTGGCGCTGCGCCACTCGTGAGGGTGGAGGGCCACACCGGCTCCTTGATGGCTGTATGTTCCTGTAAGGAAGATTTTACATGAAGTCATTTATGGAAATCAAATACTAAATAAATCTCTTATATCATTTCAAAGGAAGTGTTTGAGTATGGGAACATAAGGCGTACCCTGGCTGCCGTAGCCAGCGTCGAGCCCAGAACCATCCCATGACTCCATGGCAGAGTCCACACTGGGTATAGTGGTGGAGTAAAGCTCTGACAGCTTATTGGTCTGTTGGCTGTCTGTCAAATCGTCCTCTTCAGGGTCGCTGACGTCATTCTCTGTTGTGTCCTCCGCCTCTGCTCCTTTCCCCTCCTCTAAATCTTAAAATTAAAAGACAAAAAGCCTTTAAAAAAATAAATGAAATGATTTAGGATGCATTATTTTACAGCCTATTGAAGACTACAAGATGAAAATTGAAAAGTCCTCATCAGAAATCAATGGTTTGTTTTATTATTTTATCTGAATCCTGTTTCCATCCATCCATCCATCCATCCATCCATCCATCCATCCATCCATCCATTGTCTGAACCCGCTTGTCCACGTAGGGTTGCGGGGGGGCTGGTGCCTATCTCCAGCGGTCAATGGGCAATCAGGCGAGGTACACACTGGACAGAGAGCCAGTCCATCGCAGGGCAACACAAAGACACACAGAACAAACAATCATGCACACACACCCACACCTGAGGACAATTTAGACAGACCAATCAACCTAACAGTCACTCCACTGTGGGAGGAAGCCGGAGTACCCGGGGAGAAACCACGCATGCACAGGGAGAACATGCAAACTCCATGCAGAAAGATCCCAGGCCGGTAAGCGAACCCAGGACCTTCTTGCTGCAAGGCAACAGCTCTAACCTGTTTGTGTATTTTATTTTAATTAGCGTTAATCTGCTGCAGACAACAAATGGAAATTAGCACTTGTGACTAAATCTGGCACATTTACAGCAGAAACCCACGTTCAATAACATGCAGCTTCCTCTTCCTGCTCCATAACAATAAAACAAATGATTGTATTTCCATGCTGCTGCTCTTTTTGCAGCATGAGGCTTCAGCTCCTTTATTCGTTAGAACGTGGCCTCATGACCCACTGGAACAGCTGATTTACATATGAAGCCCCAAGTAGGTAATGAATAACTTTTTTGTCCCTGGAGGCATGAGAGGAGATGAGTTAGTCTTTACTTTGCAGATGACTTCATGCATAAACCCTGCAGATTACAATATGTAGAAAAGAAGCATGCAGAGCTTCTGAATGAGGTTTTGTTTTGTTATGGGGACCTCTTGAGTTACGATTGTGTGGGAACTCCTGCTTTTGTTCCTATTTTCTGCACCGATCAGATAAAACCTTTGAAGGAAATCAAACTAGTGAAATTCCTGAGATAAACACTCACTGTCCAGTTGCTTTTTTATCTTGAGGGTCACCGTCTCTCCGGCCATCTGAAGCAGGTGGATGGCTTCGCTCAGAGGTTTGCCTTTCAGGCTAACGCTGTTGATGGCTAAGATCCGGTCACCCACGTGAATGGCTCCGGTCCTGAGGACAAAATACGAAACACAACTATCAGCTGTGGTGTTGTGCCCACAGAGAACAAGAGTGGTCAAATCATTTATCAGCATTGCCACTTTTTCTTGGTGCAGAACATGTTAAGGTCAATAGCAAATCAAAAGTTTATACTCAACTTATTGAACAAAATTAAAGGATAGATGCCTAGCAGCTGTGTGAAATAGCAAACTTACGTTGACTGTCTTCAACTTTTCTTGTCTTTTGGACATGTGTCTTACACACTTTCTGATTATTGTTAAAATTTGCATAGAAAATTTGTTTTTACAAATAGAAACTAATTTTTGAGCCTCCAGCACCTTTGTTCAGACTCACAATGGCCTAGGAGCCCTGATTAATGACCATATTCAGCCCCATAAGAAAGTCCTACCAAGAGGGGTTTACCCCGCCCACTTCCGCCAGGACATGAATATGAGATGAGCTGTGTGCTGATTGGCTGGTGTACCCTGATGGCTCTATGACGATGCCCAAAGCTAGTAATTATGTGTTTACCTGCGCACGTGTGTGTGTGTGTGTGTGTGTGTGTGTGTGTGTGTGTGTGTGTGTGTGTGTGTGTGTGTTTGTGTGTGTGGATGAACAAGGAACAAAGTGAGTGTATGGCACTATCTGGCTGGTAGAGTGTTTGAGTGTTGCTCCAACAATCTCAGTTGTTTTCCTCTCATCCAACAAGAACGTCAGCAGTAGCTTGGACTAGCCTCAGACCAAAAAAATGGTGTAGTGGTTCCACAAAAGGCT